GAAAGTTGATCACAAATTGTGTTAAAATGTACTATGTTCCTGAAATGATCATGTTGAATGTATTTTTGATATTGTAATTGTAATTTAAAAAGTAGTGTGCTCCTGTCTCAAATCTTGCCAGACCTTACTTCTATGGTGATTTGATTTGTGGTATTGGTCGGCTTAATAGTTCAGGACCCCGCACATTGTGGATGTCCAGGAAATGTTTCAATTAAATGTAAAAACATCCCGAATAAACAATTAAATGGAAAATACTGGGAAACCACATATTTCCTGGTGTTCAGAAAAGTTTGTAAAGAACCAAATCTTCGAAATATTTCAGCTATGTCTTTTCTAAATATATGAAAAGCTCAGGAATTTCAATATTACATATTTCATAACTTAAGATTAATTACTGTCGAATGCCAGGAAGTAACCTCAAAATTTACATTTATTTAAAAGTTCAATCAATAGGATTTTCAACTGTAAAAATAACACACAAACTCATATTTTTTAATTTATATGAATTTTCTCTAGAACATGTGATATAAATACAAATATATATATATGTATATATGTACATATATATAGGATTTGAAACAAATAAAAATGGAATTTCTCAAATTCTGAATAAAGTTATCTTCCAGCTTGACACAATATATTTTATATTCTGAAAATATTCAATCAAAAAATTAGCATCTAAATCCATATACATATGCATGGTGAGTACATATGTGTGTGTGTGTGTGTGTATTTATATATGCATAGAGACAGAGAGAATGAGGTTAGCAAAGCAATAGCTTTAGAGTTATGCTAATCAAAATCTTAATATGTTAATGTTTGCTTAATTTGAAATTAAAGTAGTTGACTCAATTGGTAGAGTGGGAATTATAAAACTGTAAGCAATACAAACATTTCCCTTTACCTTCAACAATGAAGTTCACACAGAATAATGCAGCTTGCCTGGTTTAAGAGTTAAAATTCAATAGATGACTTTCTCATTAAGTAAACATGTACATTGTGTAATGAGTGATTGAAGGAGATTTTATGTGTACATCATGAAGACTGAAATGTAATACCTGATTTAGGAGACAACAAGGGAAAATTTAAAGCACATTAGTCAGGAGAAAAAAATGCATTATATCTACCTGTCTTAGTTGATGCAAATTACCTATTTCTATATCAAACAAAGCATGTTATTTAGGAAGAGGAAAATCATTTTTGTTCACACATTTAAGATATTTTACTTGTCACTTAAAATCTCTAGAGATAGAGATATTTACATAAGAAAAATGTGTTTAATGATAAAGTTGTAGGAAGGTAAATGACTAAATTTGTTGCTGGGACAACAGTGTCACAATGAATTACTCTGATAGGTGCAATAATGATTCTGAGATAAATATTGTCAAGTATGATCAACTGTCTTGAAGAAGTTATACCAGGACTCCATCCAAGGAAGCAGGCAGCCTAGCTGTGGATTTTCACCTCTCCTTTGTCTCCTCCAACTCCAATCCCCCACTCTCATCTCCATCTCTGGAACAAACCACCTGTTGCAGCCTCCCCTTCTGCTCTGCCTGGATAGCCAACTGATTACTCAGACCTTCTCCTCCAAACTTCTTCTTCACTCATCTGGTTATAA